TTCCTCTTTTGCAGGTATTGAGGGCCTATGCACGCTTTCCAAACGGTTAAGTTAGAAGATACATGACCACAGTGTTGCAAAATGCCAACCATGCATGTTTTATCAATGAGTAAGAATGCTTAGCTCCTTGGTAACACTCGCGTGGGGAGACTTCTGAGAGTTGCCAAAATTTTTACTAATGGGAGACTTAAAGGAGTAAAAAAAAATTACTAAATAAAAAGGAATAAGGTAAATTGAAAAAAATTGGGCACTCGAATGTATATTCATAATGATGAATGAGAATTAAGAACAAATTTAAGAACAATAGGGGAGCTTAAATAGATTTTGGATTGACCTTATGAATTGCTAGAATCATATGTTAAAATCTTTTCTGAAGATAGATAAGTAAGAACTAAGAATTATCATTTGAAGTTGAAGGAGGAACACCATGAGATTTTATTTGGACCTTCGAATTGGAGTTAAATTTGAGCAGAATATAATGTTTCAACTTAACATATTTTCATCTCCATCAAAACCATAATATTCATGTAAGTAAACAAAAGGTGAATTTTGATGAATTTAATGCAAATATTTAAGTTTTGTAATACCTTTTTTTTAACTAAACTCAAAATCAATAAATGTTGCACGCTCTCAAGCAGGTTGTTTTGCTTATAGATTATATTGCCCATGTCAAAAGTAAATTTCATTAGCCCTCCACAACCATTTATCTAGAATGCCAAAATTGAGGTTAACCTGAGCTTATAAAGAGCTAATGTTGTATAAATATATTATTACACTCAAAATAATTTCATCTTAGTAAAGATCCAACCCAAGTTTCATGTCCACATGGTTTGATCAGTAGATTTCTCAAATGAAGCAGTTACGTCCAGAGCCATCTAATCAGGTTATTTGTCCTGTAGGTTTCATTACATTACTGTCACAATTATAGCTCGTATTTTCCCAAATAATTTTCTTGCCATTGAATTATGAATTATAGGGTTAATTGATGGGGTATAAAACTCTCTGTAAGCTAAGATCGACTTAAATTTATCCTCTTAAACAAACATTCACCCTACACCTACAAGATCCCCTTAGATGAAGCAACTATGATTATTGACTGTCCGATTGGGTTTATTATCTCCCCGGATTAATTATACTAGGGCCCATGACATAGAGATGACAATCATTTCATCTTAAACTCAAAGTGATAATTTTTTATAATCTAAACTTAAATTTTTGCTACTATATGCTATGTGATCAATTCCATGATATGATTAATCTTAATCAAAAGTGTTTTCCTATTATTAGGAGGGGTAAAACCATATGACCTTTTTTAAGAAACCTCAAACCCCAGATATTAAGGTCCTCAGAAAATGAAGGCAAAACTTTTTAGTAGTATCTTATCCACTGTCGCATGTCTTTGGAAAATTTAACCTAGAATATTACATAACACCCTTCATTCATTTTTTGAGGGAGGCTAGGGCACGGATTTTTGGAACCCATGTCACCCGATGGCTTTGTGTATAAGTTAGTGTTCTCTTGAGAGACCGCCTTTTCTTTCTTTTTGGAATGCACATCTCTACAGATTTTTTTGTATATTGCATGTTGAGAATGGAAATTAGATTTCAATTTGTTCTCCAGATTCTATCCTAGCCTCTGTCAATTATTTCCTCATCCATCAATGTTTACTCGTCTTCCATTATGCTTGATGGGCCATCCGTATGTAGCCTTTGTGAAGATTAAAAGGTGCAAAACACAATAATATTGCTGCCCTTTGCCTCCAAAGGAGAAGCCAGATGTCAAATCCTTCAATAAAATGTAATTTAGTATTCTATTCTTATTTACTAGTTGATACTACAGCTTAAATTCTGGATTGGCGTCTACGGTGCATAGGCGGATTGAGATTTAAGAGAATTTCTTGTAAAGATTGTCTTTCTATGGCTAAAGCTCTTCTTATACTGTTATGCATAAGCATACAGCTCATTGTTGTCACCTTTATCAAATACACACACACACGCAAATATATGTTTGGTCAGGTAAGCTAACATTACAATGGTAAAAAGAAATATTTTTCCTGAAACTCGAACATTGCTTTGTGAAATTCCTTAAAAGTAAATATCAGATTTGATGATGATGGCTAAAATCCATTCTTTAAAGCATTTGTGCTGAATCGCAATTTCATAATTCCCATAACTTTGTAAGTTTTTCTTTTCAATCAATAATTTATAGTTCTATTTTACATAACAAGTCAGTTCATGGCATGGAATATGGCTTTGGAGCCCATGACTACCCAACAAGTGGAGTGTTTGAGGTAGAACCCAGAGGCTGTCCTGGCTTTATCTACAGACGTACTGTGTGGTTGGGCACCACTGACATGCCTCCAGATGAGTTCCGATCATTCATCGAACAACTTTCCCGAAAGTATCACGGTAACACGTACAATTTGATAGCGAAAAACTGCAATCATTTCACTAATGACGTCTGTATGCACCTGACCGGAAAGCCTGTTCCAGGATGGGTGAATCGGCTCGCCAGAATTGGTAAAAATATATTCAATAGAGTTTCTCAGCGCCTGCAATTTTCAATTTTCTTAATTTGTCTGCTTTTGAAAGTTTCAGGCTCTTTGTGCAATTGCATTCTACCAGAAAACATTAATGTCACAACTGTCAGGCATTTAACTGATTACCCAGCATTCTCAGGTAAGCTGGTGTTTACTGCTTATTTTTGTTAGTTTTAGCGAGATTCACTGAAACCTTAAGTCAATAAGAATCTACTCTGTCGCTTAAAAAGTAAGAGATGCGACAAGAACAGATTCTCAGCTCGTTCAAGCTCGGCTCTTGTACACCACTAGCACTAACCTGATTGCTTGGTGTTTTTGCTGTATCTATGCCATCCTTTCCTGCTGGTACACATGAGGCTAAGTTTAACGAAGGAAGATCCATGAAAACCAGCATTACGAATTCATTTTTATGAATCCCACTTCGCACTGGTCTTTCTATTTTGAAATTTCATTATAATTTTGAATGAAAAAAATACTTCAGTTTCTGGAAGCAAAATTTTTTCTAAGATCTAACACAAGCTTTCCTTTGATGGAATATATTAAATGCTAGAAGATGGAACGGGTTCATATGCTTCAACCTTGGAAGTGAGTGATGACGAGCAACTGGATCATCACTTGCTCACAGCTTCCAGCAGTGACCAGCCACTTTCAAAAGAGAAGCCATTAAAGCTGACAAGAGAGAAATTTTGACGCCTCTGTTTCTCATAGAATGCATTTCTTTACTTGTCAATTCTGTGCCTTCCTGTATAAATAATGTCAGTTCTGCTCCTTACCAACCTTTTTTGCATGAAGATTGAAAGGCTTTTACCTGAATTTTCTCTTCCTGGGTGGGCCTGCAATTTGCAGTTGTTGGATTGGTGTTCTGATTGTTTTTATTGGTATTGATTAATTTCAATCGCTCTGTTTTTCTTTTTATTTTATTTTTTTTTAGTTTTGTAAATATTGAAAAGGTTGGAGTACCTCCGGTGGCAAACAAGATTAGAGAGATTTGCATTAGATGGTTTGGTCATATTAAACATCAACCATCTGATGACCCGGTTAGAAGAGTAGATGTTTTTTATTTGGCTTATGTTAAGAATGAGTAAAGATGGACATAAAAAGACTAGGGCATGTTCTATAAAAAATATTTTAATTTATTATATTTAAATAAAAAAAATGACACTCAATAGGACACATGGGTATGTTTAGCATGCTTTTTTAGTTTTCATTTTCATTTTTAGTTGGTTGCATAAAACTAAGTATTTATTTTGACACTCAATAGGACACGGGTATGTTTATCATGCTTTTTTAGTTTTCATTTTAATTTTTAGTTGGTTGCATAAAACTAAGTATTTATTTTTTCTTGTGGTTTTTTTTTATTTAAATTTTACTTGTAAGTCACTTTTAGTTTGTTTGTTTAGTGTTTGGGTTTTCAAATTAGAGATTGTGTTCAAAGCTTTATAAGTGTAGTGTGCACGCTTTGAGATTAAATTCGCTCAAATTTCTCATAATTTTTTTT